TCAGCAACATAAAATACGTAGGGATTGTATATTCTTTGCATTAAAATAATATCTTTTAGGCTTGAATATATTATTACATACAATAGAATTGCCCGCCCCTCGGCTAATCCAAGTAAATGCGACACTAAACTTTTCCATTGTTTTAGTACATAATGAAAATTTTCAAAATTTGGCAGGTGAATACTTTTAATCATTATGAACAACTTCCTCGCTGACTGTTTTCAATTTCCGAAAATGTCAGTGATGTTTTTTAATCGGAAAAGTTCATTCTGCGCTCAGCGGCGATTACATAGTTTCATGGGCTAGTCGACTCAGGCTGAGTGTCGAAGTGATTATTCGATCCGGCTCTTAAATTTTGGATATTTTACGTGTAATAATTTCGCGTGCGATTACTTGACCGTATTGTTGCTTTCACATTTTGCTGGTGTTTTCTTATTATGTTGACTATAGGCCTAAGTACCTAAGGATGGGCCCCCAATTGTTAGATCAAAGCAAGTAGGAAATTTCTTTAGGATTAAACACGGAAGCTGCGAGCAAAGAATGACGTATGATAAATAAAGCAAAATGAAAGAACAGGAGCTACCATGCATAAAATAATTAATTAATAGAGTATAGTCTTACCTTCATTATTTCGAATGATAATTAGTTGCTGATAGTTGACAGTTTATCTGATCAATTATTTGCGCAAAACAAGGATTGATTCAAATGGTAGAGGTTAAATGGAAAGGTAGTTGATACTACAGTGAAACTCTTTATTCAAAATAAGAAATACAAAGTATATTTTATAGTTAAGTTATTTCGGATTTTTGAGCTGAGTAACAAAGAGATCGTAAGCTGTCAAGAATTCAGAATCTTAAAAGCAAGGTTTATTTGATTCGGTTTGATTTGGTTTAATTTAGTTTGGTTTATTTCGTTTTTGTAATAGTTTGTAGTATTATATAATTTTTTAATGTTAATTTCAAGTAATATTACACATATATGTGTATAGTACATATACATAGACATATGTATATTGAAGTTTCAAATAAATTCTATTTATTCAAAAGTAACAACTATGTACATATAATGTAATGTTCAAAAATCTTATAGTAATAAAGTTGATATTTTGTTTTTAATAAAACTGATATCTACTGTTTCAATATTTATTTCAATAGTCTTAGTTATACTAGTAATATTCCAAACAAAAATCTAAAACGAAAGTTAATAATATAAAAAGTTATATTAAATATAATTGAATGGACGAATACATTTTATGCTTTGAATAAACATTTGTAAATAGAAGACAATACTAGAAAGTAATTAACTTACGTTTTATTAATAATATCAAAATTATTTTTTCGCCTCAAGATTATCAAGATACAATCAGGAGAAAACGACCGCGACTATGGAAAACCGGTGACTGGCTTCTTCATCACAATATTCCAGCTTACGCATCAAACCTTATGTGGCAGTATTGATTAAAACACAGTATTGCGCAGCTCCACCAACCTCTATACAGTTCCGATATAGCTCTCTGCAACTTTTAGATGTTTCCTCAATTACAAATACTGCTTAAGGGATATTGATTCGACGATAAAGAGACTCTTTAAACTAATGGGATGCAAGCATTAAAGGCAATTTCAAAATCTGACTTTCAAGAGTGCTTTAAAAGTGGAAACATTGATATATAAACATCTTATTCAATAAAATGGGAACTACTTTTAAAGATGCTACCCTATCGATGACGAAGATTAAATCAAGCGTCGAAAAATCGAGGTAGAACGGATACTTTTATATAAACGTCACCAGTAAATTCTTACAAACCTATCAATCACTTGCTGACATATTTCGGATGTATAGTTTATGCACAGTTTGTCTTTATTTAAAAAGCTATTACGTGTTCGGCGGATTTTATGATTATTAAAAATGTCTGAAAAATAAAATTAACGAATGTTACTTTCAACTCGGAAAATTGAATTCGAAAACTATTAGATGGTGAAGAAGGTCTTTTGGAATAAGTATATGAGCAAAACACGAATAACACATGGAGCAATAAGTCCCGAGACTAACCCAGAGATGGCGCTCGTAGTAAACCAGTAACCACGTCTTTCTAGAGTATTAACCTTTACTTGAAACGTGTCAAAATTTTAAGTCGATCGGACCAGAAACAGCTGAGTTATCGAGGTTGGAGTAAAGTCGGTTTGTAGTTTGTTTAAAAAATGGAAAAACCCGAGTTTCGTGTTCTGATAAAACATTGTTTTTTAATGGGTAAAAACACCGTGCAAGCGAAACAATGGATCGAAAAATGTTACCCGGACTCTTGTCCATAAAAAGCAACGATTTGTCGGTGGTTTGCCGAGTTTAAACGTGGTCGTACCGACACAAATGACACGGAATGCTCGGGTAGACCTGTGGAAGCCGTTACACCGGAAAATGTGAGTGAAGTGACAAAAATTATAATGAAAGATCGTAAAGTGAAGCTCCGTGAGATTGCTGAGATGACACAGATATCATATGGAAGTGTATTTACTATCCTTCATGAAAAATTGAGCATGGAAAAGATTTTTTCCAAGTGGGTGCCGCGATTGCTTTCGATGGAACAAAAACAGCAACGAGTCGATGATTGAGAAAGCTGTTTATTGCTATTTACTCGCAACAAAAAAGATTTCTTGCGTCGTTACGTGACCATGGACGAAACATGGATACATCACTACATTCCAGAGTCGAAGCGGCAGTCATCTGAGTGACGCACAGCTGGCGAAAGCTGTCCGAAACGTCCGAAAACGCAGCAGTCAGCTGGCAAAGTCATGGCGTCTGTTTTTTGGGATACGCATGGCGTGATTTTCATTGACTACCTCGAAAAAGGTAAATTGATCAACAGTGATTATTATATTGACTTACTGGTGCGTTTGAAGGAAGAAATCGCAAAAAAACGACCGCACATGCAAAGAAAAAAAATCCTTTTTCACCAAGACAATGCACCCTGCCACAAGTCGATGAAAACAATGACAAAATTGAACGAATTGGGCTTTGATCTGCTTCCCCACCCCCCATACTCGCCAGATTTAGCCCCTAGTGACTACTGGCTCTTTGCTGATCTTAAAAAAATGCTGCAGGGAAAAAGATTTGGCTCAAATGAGGTCATCGCTGAAACTGAAGCTTATTTTGAAGCGAAAGATAAATGTTTTTATAAACATGGTATTGAAAAATTGGAAAAGCGTTGGAACCATTGTATCACCCTAAAAGGTGATTATGTTGATGAATAAAAAAAAATTTTGCAAAAAAAATGTTGTTTTCATTGTTAGTCTCGGGACTTATTGATCCATGTGTTAAAAGAGTGGTATAATCGTTTCAAAGGAGGCCGCATTTCTGTTGATAGTGATCTCGTTCTAACCGAGCTTCGACGAAAAAATATTGGACTAGTGATGAGAATCTAATGACGCTACAAAAAATTTCAATTTTACGAATCCGTATTACATCTATATCATTTTTACAGTTATAACCAAGATGCTAGGATGTGAATTTTGATCATAGTTATATAAATGATATTGATACAATACAACTTTGATTGAATACAACAAATGAAAATAAAATTTTTTGTAGCGTCATGGGATTCTTATCCAGGTATTGGACAATATTGTGCAGATGCGACTTGCAGTCGAACAAAATCGTCGTACAACTGGGCGGGAACTAAAAGAAGATCTTGAAATACCAAAAGCTATAATTTAGAAAATGACATGCATGTGTGCGAATTTCATTCCAAAATTACTCAGTGCAGAGCAGAAAAAGCTTTGCTTATAAATCGCTCAGGACAACTCAGTAATGATCAATGACAATGATACTGTGTTTAAAATGGTTATTACTTATGACGCATCATGGGTTTATTGTTGTAATTCTCAAATAAATCAATAGTCTTCACAATGAAAGTGCTCTGGATCACCAAAATTAAAAAAGCAATTCAAAGCAATATTAAGTCAATGTTGGTTATTTTCTTCTATTGGGAAGGTGTGGTGCATCACTGGTATGTATCGAAAGGTCAAGCAATCAATCAAGAATATAACGCTCAAATTTTGAAACGTTTGCGTGAAGTAGTGAGAAGAAAATGCCTGCACTTTTAGTCAAGTGGTGACGGGCTTCTTTATCACGATAATACACCAACAAATTCATCGAATTTTGTGCTGCAGTTTCTGCGTAAACATAGTGTCGCATTGCTTTGGTAATCTCCATATAGTCCATATATAAACTTCTGTGACTTTCAGATGTTTCCAAAATTTAAAAAACCACTGAAAGGACACTAATTCGATGACAAAACGACAATTAAAAATAATGCAACGCGCGTATTCAAAGTTATCCGTAAAAATGAGATCTAGAATTGTTCTGAGAAGTGGAAACATTGCTGGAACCGTATTATTCAATGAAGTAGAAAATACTTTGAAGGATGTAACCTGCTCGACGATGAAAAATAAGACTAACGTGAAGATATAAAGATATGTTCGCCACTTTCACCACCACGGACAGACCTCATACATGATTTCATGGTAATATATAAAAAAATTTCGTAACGTCAGGGAGACGAGGATAGTGTCGGGTAATAATTCATTATTTAACCCTACGCCAGAAAGTAGCTTTTATTTACAATCTTCCTTTTACGATCTTCCTCAGTGCGAAATTTATTCAGGAAATAAATTTGCTGTATAAATATTTGAAATTTCTCACGTATCAAAAAACGTAATACTAACTAAAACTTTATTTAAGAGTTTGTTTCTTCGGGGCTCTCTCCCCCTTTCTCTCTGTCTCTTTATCATCATCTTACTTGTTCTCGTTTACTGCTCGCATCACAAAAATAGCCGTAATAAGTACGATTGATAAAGTTTATTTACTTGAATTTCATTATTTTAGTAAAAATTATATATCTTATATCAAAAAAACAATTTTCCATTTTCAAAATATTACGGTATCAACATTAACATATGTGTAAATTACATTACTGTATAATAATTAGAAAATATTCTCGTTTTCAGATCACAACCTATTCTCGATGATTCTTCTGGAAAAAGTGGTGCTAAGTTTTATCAGTCATTTGATAAATTATTTATTCTGAAAACATTAACAAGTGAAGAAGTTGAACGTATGCATTCTTTTCTAAAACATTATCATCCGGTAAGAAAGGCTTGTATAATATTTTATATTATTTTAATATCACGATGTTATCATGAATTGTTTCTACCTTGTCTTCTTAGTGCTTATTAAGTACATCTTTTACTTCAAAGTTAAGGTCGAGAGATTTGCCATATTTAATCAACAAGAAGATTCAAACGAAGGCGATAAAAAAAATCAATACAGAGTTTGCGAGATGTTAATAAATTATCTGTATCAAATATATAATGAAAAGGAAGCAAGCATGGAAAATTCGATTAAATTATCTATTAATATTCGATTAAATTGCAAGAATAAAAAGTTTGAAAAGATGAGAATTAAATTCTGTTAAGAGATATAAAACAAATAATCTATAATTATAAATTCACGGAGAGAGTTTCGACTCATGGAAGGGAGTAGACGTGTCTTGAAAGTTTGAAAGGAAAAGTGTTTAAGGAGAGAGATAGAGGTGAAAAAAGCAAAAAGGTGGAGTAGAGAGAAAGGAGATTGGAGAAGAGCAGGTAAAAGCAGAGAGAGAAGAATAATAGTACCAATCTATAAGAAAGGGATGAAAGAAGAAGTAGAAAACTATAGAGGAATAACGCTGATGGACACGGGATATAAAATATATGCGGAAATACTGAAGAAAAAGCTGGAAAGAGAACTAGAAGCTAAAGAAACGCTAACCGATACGCAGATGGTATCAGGAAGAAAAGAGGACAATGAACGCAATATATGTATTAAAAACAATAATATGGAAGAAAATAAGGGAAAAACGAGGAAAACTGTTTGTATTCTTTGCCGACATGAAGTCCGTTTTTGACAAGATTAAGAGGAAGAAAATATGGAAAACAATGAAAGAGAAAGGGATAAATAGAAAAATTAGGAAAAGAATAGAAGAAATATATAAGAAAACAGGAAGTAAGGTAAAAGTTGGAGGAGGAATAATTGGGGAGTTCGAAACTTACAAAGGCGTAAGGCAAGGGTGCCCTTTGAGCACCACGCTATTTAATCTTGCCTTCGCCGACCTGGAAGTCAAGATCAAACAGGTGCACGAAGGAGGGGTAGTGATAGGAAGGAAGAAAATATGGACATTAGGATATGCAGATGATATAGTGATGATGGCAAAGAGTGGAAAAGGTAGATCTAGGAAAGAGAGAGAGGAAGAGAAGATTGATAGAAGAAAAATGGGAAGAAAAGCTGAACAGACAGAAGCAGAAGAGAGAGATGCAAGAGTTGCAGATACACCTACATATGTACACATATACACAAAACACACACGCACGCACACACACACATACACACACAAAACACACATTTCAATTGCACAAACTAATAGGTTGAATGTAATAAATGACAACCAAATGTAACATATAAGTTGTAAATAAATAAACTAATTATGAACACAATAATACGACGAATGCTATATTGCTGTTGGATAATGAGAAAAGAAACGTATTTATGAAACTATAGGAAAGAATTTTTTAGAGATGTAAGGAGAAAGCTGATTTCATCATAAAAATTCGGCCCTGAGACTCTATTTTTTTTTATTTTTTATTCGGGATATAATCTCTTACGAATATAAATAATAATACATAATAATATAATAGAAATAATATAAAGTAAATACAAAAAAATAGTAACAACTTAACTAGAAGGACAAAATTAACAGATTAACAACATAGTAATAAAATTTAATTAGATATACAAGTACAAAATACAAAAATAACATGAAACTAGTAGTGGATAATTACGATGGGGAAGAAAACAGCAGTCAATTAAACGGGGATTAGCCATCGGAATTGAAAGATGTCTGACTTAACAGATCTTTTAACTACTCTAACATTAATATAGTGATTATCGATTGGAGCCGACAGATTATTAACAATAATACAGGACCGATCAATAACAGAAACATGATCAATATTGCCTTTACGAGGACGGATGTAGAAAGTACGTTGACAAGCTCAACATACGGGGTGGAACAGCATACAAGATCCGATCGTGAAGAAAACATGAATCAATGAGATTGTGGCACAGTTTATATATAAACAATGTCAACTAATATTTAATAAAAGATGTAACAGAGCAAATATTGAATTTATTAGCTACCTCCGAATAGTCATGAAAATACACGTCCATATGTTGACCAAATTTGTTAGCAAGTGTAACGTCGGTTGACGAAACAATTCTCAGGCGCACTTTTTTGGTCTATCCTTACGGAAAATAACCGGGACGTGCGTCACCACTATTGCGGGAAATTCTTTTTTCGGCGACGGAGGATCGAAGCTTTACTATACCACACGCTAGGCAATATAGCAAAGCTTCGCGTTATTTTACCACGCTCTTGGCAATAAAATAACGTGAAAGGGGGCCTATCTAATATGCAGTCGACCACACGCTTGGCAATCGAGTGTAACTATCTAAAAAGACAGACCGTCCGCGAAACTAAAATAGGAAAGAATAAGGAGAGAAAAGAATATAAAAAGAAGTTAGAGTAAAAAATTTATTTTGATTTTTTTTACTTACTTTTGCCTTAATTTCCCACACACACACTGGAAGGAATAACTATAACTTTCGAACTAGACGAACTTTGAAAAAACAGCAAACTAATTTGGAATGGTTACACGAACTGAATTTAGAAAATAACTGCCTAATTTTCTTGAAAAGCTGTCTTTTATACTTTTTACAAGAGACTCCCACTCGAAAATCTTTGTTATTTTTGGGCAGGAAGAACTCAAATTTTCTCAACTTAATTGGTTGGAAAATTTGGGGAGTGTCTCAAGCGTAAGCAAAATCGAACCCTAATTGACCGGGGGCGGAGTGTGTGGGAGTGGCCTCATTCAAGTGCTTTGAGCCTTCTTCACTTAGATGGCCCTCTATGTACTATTTTGACCTTTAATTATTTAAACTAATTTTATTTAAATTCAATTGTGTGTGTGGTACTCTAATTTTACAAAAATATCTCTTAACCCATTAAAGCCCACGCTAAGACTGGTTGAGATAGCGACAAACAAACTGTGCTATCTTTTGCATAAGTGAAAAATAAAATATACGTATTTTTTTTTATGTTATTTTCAATTGTTTATAACAAATTATTTAAACAAATTACAAAAAAATTCATAATTATCAAAATCTAAATGCGGGAATCGATTCTGGAGGTGAAATCAAGACGAAAACCTATATAACACTTTTTTGTCAGAATTCAATTTGTTAGTGTAACGTAGGAATAAACAATTGCATGTTGGGGAGAAAAAGTGACCATGTCAAGTCCCAAGCAAAATCTATCTGGAATAGCAAAAAATAAACTGTGCTACCCTTTGCATAAGTGAAAAATAAAATATATATATTTTTTCTTATGTCATTTGCAATTGTTTATAACAAACTATTTAAACAAATTATAAAAAAATTTATAATTTTCAAAATCTGAATGCGGAAATCGATTCTGGGGGTAAAGTTTAGACGAAAACCTATATAACACTTTTCTGTCAGAGGCCAATTAGTTATTGTAATGAAGGAAGAAACATTCGGCCTCCTGAGAGTGTTTCAAAAAATCGTATAAAATGAAGCTAATTATTGTATTTATCCATCAATATTGGCATGAATTATTGTAAATATAATCGGTGGGATTGAATTATTGTTCATTGCCATGTCCTTCTTTATGACTTTTGCAAACAGGCATAGAACATTTCTCACAATACCATTCCGTTCTTGTCCGACATGTTGAAATTCCACATTTCCTAAGACTCCCATGTTTCATCACGTGTTCTTGGGATGAAGTTTCACTCTGTTTCTGTCGTTTGGGGGGACGTTTGGAAGATAACTTGTCAATATAATATTCACAAACTTCTTGAACAATATCTTTGGAACCTTTTCTTTCGTCTGGATGTAACTTATTGTAAATCACTGTAGCGTTTGCTAAGGATGCTTGGATGAGCCGTAATACAAGGCACCATGTCCATTTCTTACTTCGAATTGTAGGCATCAAAGCATTACAGTGTTGATCATGTAGATCGACGCCACCCATGTGTTCATTATACATAGAGAAACAATGAGGAAAAAGAATAGATTTTTTCGATGATTCCTGCCATCTCTGCATTTCAACTTTTGGTTCATTTCCATATTTCGAAGAGAGAATCGATACTGGCTTTGAGTCCATAACTGTAATATAATTCAATTTTGAATTCACTTCATGCATTGAAATAGTGTATCCTCTTTTAGCTTTTTTTGGCATTTCGACTTTCACTTTCACACGATTATGCCGAACAGTTCCTGTCGCCGATAAACCATTTTTTTTTCAAATGAATCATAAGATCTGGGTTTGTGAAAAAGTTGTCAAAATAAATATGATACTTTTTCAGTTCTTCTCTCTGTGTTTTTTCTAATAAATTCGAAAGTAACTTTATCACCACTCTAGACCCTAAACCAACGGCAACTAAAGGATTTCGTTCATCGATTCCTGATTTACCAGTGTAAATATCAAGATCATATATATACCCATCAGAAGAACAGACTGCCCATTCTTTTATTCCAAATCTAATGGGTTTATTCCTTATACATTGCTTGATACCAAACCTACCAAAGTATTTTACCATTATCTCATCTATTGATAAATTATAGTCAAAGAAACCAAATTGCATACAATTCTCACGAAACATATCATACAGAGTTCTAACCTTCCAGACTTTATCATTTTGATCAGTTTCTTGAAGTTTATAGAATCGTATGTTCTTTTTTATGGTAACGAAATTATTTCTAGACATAAGTTCCGCAATTACTGGACACTGAAGTATTCGCTTTTTTGACCAGTAATCACGAATACTTTTTCTAGAATTGAAGATAGTAATCATTATGATTGTAATAAATTTTTCTAGATCATCCATACATAAATCAAAATGATTTTCAGAAGTGGCTTCAATGATATGGTTTTTCATTGATTTCGAAAAGAAAACCTCAAACAACTCAAAAGCATTTTTGGATTGCAATGATGAAATAGGTGAAATATTGAAGTTGCTCTCGACATG